TCTCTACTAAAAATAAAAAAGAATCAGCTGGGTGTGGTGGCCTGCGCCTGTGGTCCCAGCTAGTCGGGAGAGCGAGACAGGAGAATTGCTTGAACCCAAGCAATTGGGCGACAGAGCGAGACTTGGTCTCAGAGGAAAAAAAAAAAAGGAAATAGAGGCATAGACAGAGAGTCAAGTGATGAGAATGGAGCTGGGATGTACAGTCCTGCCTGCAATCCGCTTTGAGCCCTCTGCCTCCCAGCGCTAGGAGCATCAGCCTCTCTCTGGGTCTGCCAGGGCGGGGGCAGCTCATCCCATATTCTCCACTGAGCTAGCACAGGACTCATGCTCAGCAGGCGTCTGAGATATAAATGAATGCTGAATGAATGGATGAATCTAAGCATATCATTTGTCTTCTTTAGGCAAAGAAGAAAGAAGAGGGCTTCTCAGCTTCTGAAGGAAACAAGGTCTGTCTCTTGGGGAATAGGAACAGCATGTACTTAGAGGCAAGAAGGGAGAACTGGTCTATCCAGTGTACTGCTGTCCTCCCCTGGGACAGGGATGACCTGCAGCTGCCTCAGGCATGGGCTGGAGTCAGGCCAAATGGCTGAAGTGGCCCAGGATGGCTGTGTGACAGAAGACTGGCTCCTTGAGGCCAGAGGCAGAGGTAGTGACAGTCACAGTTGTACAGTTCAATCAGAAACTTGGCCAAGCCAGGAATAGGGGAATGACCTTTCCAGTAGCTGAGGTTTCGGGGTGCAGTGTCAGATGGCTGGTGAGATCAGATATCACTAGGGGCTGCAGTGAGGGGAGGGGACCTGCCACCTGCAGGGACAGGGATCTGAATTGGGCTGTGCTACTGTCAACAGAACTGCCTCCTGGTGGGAGGCTAGAACTGTCATGGTGGAAGGGAGAGAGAACTGATTTTCCTGTGTTTGATGAGGGTGTGATTTGGGGTGTCTCTAGGGAGTCCCAGTGTGGGGATGAAATCGCTTCTGCGGGTTTCTGAAGGACCACACCATCATTCTGTGCACAGAACCCGTGGCTGAGAGAGGCTCTGCTGCCATTACCTCAGAAAAGAGGGTATTAAAAGCATTTCTTGGCTCTCTCCCTTGAAAGGGTTTAGATCTTGTCATTAATAACTGGCTAATGGATTTCTCAACTGTTACAAGCAGCCATGTGGCTTCTGGAAGGAATCTGCTGTTTAAGTACATTAAACAAGGACTCTGCAAGACTGTTAACCCTTGTGTCTCTCTTGGCTCTCAGGAGAGTTTTTCACTTGAACTTTTCCCGTTGACTCTGACAGCCAGCCATCCTCGTAGTGATGGTTAAAACTCAGGCCCTAGACTCAGTAAGGCCTGGGTTTGAACCTCAGCTTGGCTAATCCATGTTTTCAGCCCTCAGTTTCCTCATTTCTGCAACAAATACAACACCTAAGGCTGGGTGCAGTGGCTCACACCTGTAATCCCAGCACTTTGGGAGGTCGAAGCGGGCGGACCACCTGAGATCGGGAGTTCAAGACTAGCCTGGCCAACATGGTGAAACCTCATCTCTATTAAAAATACAAAAATTCTTTGGGAGGCCGAGGCGGGCGGATCACAAGGACAGGAGATCGAGACCACGGTGAAACCCGTCTCTACTAAAAATACAAAAAATTAGCCGGGCGCGGTGGCGGGCGCCTATAGTCCCAGCTACTCAGGAGGCTGAGGCAGGAGAATGGCGTGAACCCGGGAGGCAGAGCTTGCAGTGA